AAATATTCTTTTTCTTTTTCAAGTTCCAATGAGTTATTTGGGCAAAAGTTGAGGCCAGCTCTTTATTGCTGATCCCCCAGTAAACAGATCTATCTGCAAATGTGAAGTATGTATGAGGCTTTTTCCTTGAAGCTCCAGCCTTGAAAGTGCCCCTCTGTGATCACTGAAAGTCAGGTCCAGGAATTCCTTCTTTACAGGAAAAAACATCATTGTTCTCAGACTACACAATTGGGTCACTGAACTGTTGCTTGCCTTTGCGATGCCAGTGAGTCCAAATTAGCTTGACTTCCATAAAGGAGAGAGGGAAGGAAAGCAACGAGCATTAATCAGAGCAACACACAAGCAGCTCTTCCAAAACAAACGAGCTTCAACAGTCAGCACACAGAGTCCTTCAGTCAGTGTGAACAAGCTGAACTTAGGCCAAACTTCGCGTCAAAAAGAATAACTGGTTTAATATGTATCTGTGAAGTCTGCATTTGTTTCTTTTTCCTCCTCGCAATCCATCTGCAGGAAGCTGTGAACAAACTGAGCGAAGCAGCATGGCTCATCCTACTGCAGCCAGCCCCTCTGTGCAATGTCCACTGCAACTAAGCTAATCATAGTATCAAAGGATCATAGGGCTTGGAATGGACTTCTGGGGATCATCTGGTCCAACACCCTCCTGCAGGTTCCCAGCAGTGGGTTGCACAGAAAAGCATCTAGGCAGGTCTTAAATGCCCTAATTTTTCTTTATAAAGAGGTGATTTGCATGTGATTCATTTCCTGTGAAATGTCTGCAAGGTTATTCATTGATAAAGTCCAGAATTTAAAGACAAAGAGAAAAGGTATGTTAAGAGAGGAAACCATGAGACTTATGTTAGGCATCTCTGTAAGATGTAGGAAGCAACTCCTCCTCTCTGTGAGTGTAAAATAAGTCCAAATCTCAGACATACATTCTTCAACCACAGACACTTGTATTTTATTCAGTAAACCCTTAGGAGAAGAGGTAATGACTCTAAGTTGTTCCAGGAGAGGTTCAGGTTAGTCCCTGTCCCTGCAAGTGTTCAAGAAACATGGAGATGTGACACTGAGGGACATGGTTGGTGAACATGCTGGGTATGGGTTGATATTTGGACTAGATGATCTTAGTGATCTCTTCCAACCTTCATGATTCCACGATTCCATGACTCCACCTTCCAAAGAACAATTCACCCTATGTTAAAATTGTTGTCTTAAGATGAGTGGGACAAAGAATCTCCTGAAGGGGTATAGACAGTGACAATCTAGGAGACAAGTACGGGCCACTGGTATTAAATGCTAAGAGCTACCATGTCTTCTTCAGGTCTAAGAGATGTGAGACGCTCATGAGGTCTACCAGATATGAGAAAGGAAAGACAGTGAAGCAAGTCTGCCACTGGAGAATATCTCTGTCAGATTTACCATTCAGTTGTTATTTTTCCAACTTGTCTTTTCTAGAGAAAAGCAAGGTAACAAAGTAAAAATGCTGAGTTCATGTGATCAAAAGGTGTTTCATACCGAAACAGCCTCTCTTCCTCAAGGCCTGATATTAGTATCTCATAGTGTTTTCATCTGCTTTTTCATCATGCATGTTTCCACATGTACTGCAGTCATTCTGCTTAACCATTATCTCTAGTTTAAAAAAAAAAAAAAGAAAAAAAAAGATTTAAACACTAACAGTTATTCTCTGGTAATAATAATTTAAAATGAGAAGAAAAAAAAAACCTTAAGAATTTAAAAAATGTGAAAACATGTATTTCCTTCAAAGATGTGACAGCTCCCACTAAATTTTTTTTGGCTTTGGGATGCAGTATTTTCTTTGTTCATGATTAATTACAAGTTCAACTATCACATCTTATACTGCAGTGAAGATATAACAAACACCTATCACTCAATATATATAAGTCAAGTAATGCTGAAAATATATCAAATGATTTACAGTGTCATGGAAATATTACTGGAAATAAATGATTATGACGTAAGACATTTTTGCTACATCACGAACAGACATAAGCATTATGTTTATTGCTACATTTCTACCATGCCCACAGAGCCTCTGTAATATCTGAGCACAACAGAGTCCTCAGTGAATTTACCTGGTGAAGCAGAGAAGTGCTATTGTCAGGGGGTAAAGCCAATTATGGTACCCAGCATGGACTCAGAGACTTCCCATGGCATGTAAGATCAGGAGTGTAATGAGCAATTGAGACAATCTACTCTCTTGACTATCTGACTCTGCTTTTTTACAACAGCAGTTGCACCTACCCCATGATGCAGCCAATTGGCTTTTTTATTGTTTTAGGGTGACTGGTGTTTTTATTTGTTTGTTTGTTATTCTTGGTGGAAGGGTTTAGATGGATCACGTGAAAATTCATGTCAAATTGGAAAACTTTGTTGCAAGCAGCAATATCTTAACAGGAGCGAGAGCCTCTTTCAAAATTTAAAACACAAGCAAAAGAACTCAGTGGGAATATATTTATACCTGTTTAAATATTTCTATTATTGCATTAAGCCTAAATGCTTCATTTTGAAAAAAAAGTTAAAGAAAAGATTTACTGATGCTTTGTTATGTTAATGGATGGGTTGGGACTGGCGCTCCAAGTTGTATTGTTGATGCACTGCACTGCATTATATGCAAACATTATGCTAAATAACCTGTCACTTAAGTCTTTGTTCCTGGCAGAAATTTCTTCATTAAGGTCTACAGTAGGTGCTCTGCTTAAATTTTTCAGCCGTGTTGACATTCCTGATTTCTTAATTTATATATGCATTTGTCAATACTTTCACAAAATACTACTTGCACACACACACATATTCATATACATATGCATATACCTATAAGTAGGGATAAATAACAGACATCTGTAAGCCATTCTGCATTAGAGGGCAATCACACCATGCTAGAGGTCATTGGTAATAAACAAATACATTATTGAACCAACAACTTAAAAAAACAGGAAAACTAACCAGTAAGATTTAAAAACCATTAATCTCCAACCAGCACAGAATACAGAAATTTTGAAGGGTGTAGAATTATAGCAGCTCCCTTGGAAGCAGTTGACTCACAAAGACATCTGGGTGATCATTCTATCAAATCCATCCTCTGCTTTTCTAAAATAGCCAGAACTAGGCACACAACCTGAAGGAACAACCTAGACTTACTTGCACTATCCATACATACGGCAGTGGCACCAACGTCAATTCCTACAAAAGCTCTTGAGGGATGTGTGTCCAGAGCCACTCTTGTCACATTACTAAACAAATGTCTTTTCAGATATAAAATGAGCAGATAGCAGGACACAAAACACCATTTTACAAATACTTCATACAACAGACCAGCAATCAAAGTCACAACCTGTTCACTCCATCTTCCATCCATATCTCATGAAAGAGGTGACAGAGAGACAGCTGTGGTTGTACACAGTGATCCTCATCCAGCTACCAATCCCCTACAGCAGATGTGGACTGCACAATTTCTTTGGCAGCAGAATTTATCTAAGTGATATTCTTCTACACCGACTCATTTCAAGGACATGGAAGGATCCAGAGTGTTTTCCCATAAATAACAGTCGGTGCAAGTCTCTTTATGCTGACAGCAGTGGTTGACTTGTTAAGACTGGTTATATCTTCATCTTGATCAACCTATTTGAAGAATAAAGGACTTCCTAACTGGGCTGGTTATTTCAGCAGCTCCTGCTGGTTGAAGAAAGCAGGTCCTTTATACCGCTCTGAGTTCATTTTCTGCCTGACTACTCCGACCTTCCTAGCTCAAATTGTCATTAACTCATTTACGCTTTGTGATCTGCTCTACTGTCAAGTATTAAATTTATTCATGTCTCATTTTAGATTTCCCACTCTAAAAATGCAACAGTCTATTTTCAAGGCAAATGCAGAATTAAATGCATGGTAAAACACATTATCTTGAATATACACAGCTTTAAAACCAAAATGTAGCTGAAGACCACATCTAGTTTCCATAATATCAAAGTTCTACAAAACTTCTTATTACTCACAATTCTACGTTTCACCAGAAAATGAGTTGTAGATAATTTTAAAATCACATTGCCCTCTTTCAATGCAGTAAAATGTCTACGATTCCTTCTCCTTCAGGCTGGAGGTTCATCCCAGACCTGCAGAATTCATTGTGTCCGAGGACCAAAGAGGAGGCACTAAGTATTCACACTCACCTCAGCTACATTTTGTCATAACAATACTCTAGATACATGAAAATCACCTTGAAATTGAACAAATTGGTTTATAAGTGAGGAAAAGAACAAAACTGTAGCAGCTTTTCTTATGTCAGTTTAATGTAAGAAATAACCTTGTTTTCTTTGTTTCATTCTTCTTTTTCTTCTTCTTTTTTTTTTTTTTTTTTGGACTTCATCCCTTGAAACCCTTGAAAGTAACCACTGAAATGACCATTTACCAATTCTGGTCAAGCTATTTTCAAACAAGATAAATGTGCTGGGTTTTTTTTGTATGTGTGCATTTTATTCTTGCTCCAGTGAAGAAATACAGAAGGGAAAAAATAAATACCCAACCCAGAATTTGCCTTTAAAAAGTGCTGAACACAATTTCCGTTGCCATTATTCACCAACCACATCACGTCTTTTGGCAATTCTGCTGTTTTTGAAAAGCATTATTGCCTGATTCTTAGGAAACACTCCAATAAGAAACACATACACACTTACATGATATACTTTTTATGACATTTTTCCAAGAACAAGAATAGCTAATTGTTGAGTTTCCTACTGGGAAATGGCTCTTGAATATGCAGATCTCTAAATGACTACACTAATGCAAATCGCCAATGCTACAATAATTCAATCACATGCATATGCATGTAAACACATAGCTCTTACTTATAATATGTTTAATCATCTTTCCAGGTAGCACAAATCCAATGCAAACCCATGTGCCATGTGGTTCACAGACGTCAAGTGTACACTTTATTTTAAATACTACTACTGAATGTATCTTTAAGGTGTTTTAGATCAACTTACTTGGTGCTGACTTGCTTTTGCCAACTGCTCATTGGCTGATTCTACATTAGAAGATGCAGTCTCAATGTTGGCTTCAATACTGTCTGCAAATTAAGACAATAGAAGATAATTACAGGGTACAAACCTAAAACAAAAGCTTTATACTGACAGCGATTCAGCAGTTTACATGTGCACATAAAAAGAGAAGCAGCATTTTCTGCAAGACTGTGCATTACACAGAAAGAAGAATGCTATGCACTTTGATGATTGAAGACACCTAACCAATCAGAGGCAGTATGACTGATAGCTCTCTGTGTGTCCTTGAATAACAGAACCATGGCATCATAGAATAACCTGAGCTGGAAGGGATCCACAAGGTTCACAGAATCCAACTCCTGGTTCCATTCAGGACCACCAAAAATCCCTTCAACCTTCTCTTCTTTGGGCTAAACAAACCAGTGTGACCTCAGCTTTTCTTCATACACAACCTCCCTCCCCCCCCAGACCCTTCACCATCTTCATATATCCCCTTCTGGATGCTCTCTAATAGCTTTATGTTCTTCTGATATTGTGGTGTCCAACCTAAAAACAGTGTTTGAGATGAGCCTACAGCAGTGCAGAGTAGGGAGGTTATCATCTCATCCCACTCCCACTAAATCCAATGGAAAAACTGATAGCATGTTCAGAGCATTTCAGCTGAACAATGGCAAATCCACTGGATTAAATTACAGAAGCAATGTGGTAGATTCTATCTGGTATTATCTCATAGAGATTGGAAGTAATCTTTATCTGAATACGTGTGGGTTGCACACTTAGGTCTCTATTTAAGCAAGAACCCTCAGATGCCGCAGCAGTTAGCAGCCTGTGATTCATTCCGATACACCAGCTACCTGCCACTGATCAGATCAGATGAATCACAACTTCAACTCCTGGATCACATTTCCAAGCTCCAAGAGAGGTCTGCACAGATGGTTTAGAATGAGACAAATTGCCACTGTCTAAAATTAAGGGAGATGAATCTCATCCTAAACTGCTAGGTCTGAGGTTGTGGAAGCTGGGGGAAACATGTGGAATCAAAATAAGACTAGAAAAGAAAGACTGACAGCTACACCTTGAGTGAGAAATCCTCACTTCCATCAAATAGAAGTTTAAATTTTGGCTCCATCACTGTGCTTAGAATGCAAGATATTTATGATATAGAACTTGCAATTAAAGGTTTGTGCTTTCAATGGAAATCTTAGAAATCTTCACCAATTTGTGCACTCAGAGATGTCAATAATTTCTGGCCACAGTACAAGAATACGTACACTTAATTTGTCTAAGACTTGCCATTGAAGATTTAAGTAACATTTATTCACATATTTATTCATTTGTTTATTTATTTAGAGTGAAAACTTGCAGATAAAATGTGTAACAATACCCTTTCCTCCCCAACTTCATCTTAGCCCCTAGAACCTTACTGCAACTCTTTCTTCACACCTCTGAGGGTTGTTTTTTGTTTTTTTTTTCCCCATTCATTCTTACTACATTATGCATGCTGTAGTAACCAAAAGCAAACTACATGCTGGGCACTTCTATAGATTAAAATGACATAATTGGTCATTTCCAAAGCTTCTCAAAGAATTTTCATTAAGATTTTAAAACCATAGACCTTGGTTGTCATTACTGAGATCTGCACAAATGCTTCCATTGCCATCAGAATTGTTTCTAATGATCGTAACTCCAGGCTATGAAGAAATGTCAGATTTGCTTGTACAGAGCCTTAGAACATTTGAGTCCACAAACTCGCACACACCAGTGTGACAACCAAGTATTGCAAAAATCTGAATGTTTTCCAGGGAAAATAACAGATGCTTCTCTTCCCCTTTTCTTCTCAATTCCAGCAGAAAGTGATGGTGCTGAATTATAAAAACTGATGAACAGAAGCATAAATATTAAGCACACTGCAGTGAACAGTATTTTTGTCATGTGAGTGGATCTACCCAAAGTCTACTTCAAACATGGCAGGCACTTTTCAACCTCTCACTTAACAGTGAGGCTCAAGGCAAGTTTCCAAGTAAAAACCTGCTACTACATGTCCACCTCTACTATCACTGTTAAATTAATTTTATACTCATGTTCAAAAACAATAGATATCCTGTCTCCAGGACTGGCCTTGATGTCTTTCCAGCCAGAAATTGAAGTTAACCCATGAATCAGTAAGAAGTCATTCTAAATATTTTATATGAATAGTAGGAGAAGTACAGTCGATCTTCGCTGGGTAGAACTGAGGAATATCTTGGAAGTAGGGGGTCCTTTTTTTCCATGTTTGTAAGCTAGGACAGACCTGTGTAATTGGGAACTAATCACTGAGACAACACTGGTTTGCATCAATTGAAATTCAAATCCTGACCATTCAATAACATATTACTACAGCTGCATGGATTGGGGTAGTCATGTCCTACTCATCATGCTTTGCAACCACCATCCTGTTTTTTCTAGCACAGGCTTTCCCAGGTAGGATGGTCAAGTGCTATAAATCCTACACAAGTTGATGTGATGTTAAAGGAGGTGACTGGGTCCTGCTGACAAAGTTTCTGCTCACTTGTTCTCCTAACAGCAGAATAGCAGAAATTGAAATGAGCAGAACTCCCACTTAAATTTTCTCTGTAAAAATCTGTAATCCTGAGAGGAGCAGACAAAAACAAATAAACAAGCAAAACTCTATAAAAATGAGACATAAATATGTAACACTATATGACTGTGTATTTCTGCTGATTTATGCAGGAAAGCAAGAGAATAAATTGAGAATTTGGGTCAAATCAAAAGGAAGTACACAGACCGTATCAATAAGTCAAGAATAAATGTGTCACTCAGCAGATGTCAGCACATCTCTGCCAAATGATAGTGATTGCTCAGAGCTTCACCTTGCTTATGTTCAGGCTTCTTTCCAAGACTGGGGACTGAGAAGCAAGGAAATCCAAAGGAATGTTAAGCTGTTAAGAAGACAGGAACATCAGCTGGGTATGACTTTTCCTTTCTTCACTGCCTTTAACATGAAAAGACAGTGAATTTGCTCCCAAATAGGTGAAATAACTCAGCTCTGAGACTAGGGTTTTCAAAGGGTCTCAGTAGTCTGAATCTCACAATGACTTCCCATCTTCTTTTGGTGATGATGAATTTATGATTGTGGTACATTTTGGAAACAAAAAAAAACTTTAAGGCAATGCGACCACCATTTTATGAAACTGAGGGACAAGGCTGCACCAAAGCAGATGGCTGCTGTATCGAAGAATTAGGAAAAGACATTTAATTTTCCTGCCTAAACACATCTTTTCAATAGGAAGGCAGCAGAGCTGACTGGCTTTTAGATGTAACTTAATATGACACACTTGTCACACACAGACAGAAGTCATGATGACCCTCAGACGGCTCGTTAACCCTATCTATTTACCTGTCTTATGAGATCAAGCCCTGCTAATGGCCAACAGGAGTCTTTTGTGTGAAATTACTGGAGCGATAGGGGCTGGAGTGGGGTTTTTGTCCAAATATATCAAGGAATAACCCCTATGACCTATGTCTTTATAGTGGCAACAATGGACTGGTTTCACAAGGCAGCATTTTCAGTAGAGCTGCTTGAAAGACAGGGAAGTGAGCTTGTAAATGAAAATTTTAAAATGCTCCCACTTGGCTATAATCAAAATGGGCCCCTTCAGGTTTCACAGTATGCTTTTATTTTTAGCACTCCAATAAGCTTAACCCTGTTTCTTCACTGTAACTTCTGACAAGAATAATCTATACAGCACACTGAGAAGCATAATATAAAAAAAAAAATGTTTTTGTAATATGCAAAGTTTTCTTTCTTAATTAAAAGCCAAATTTGAGGGTGAAATTGCTGTCAGCATGAAAAAGAATTTTTCCTGTTTTAATCACCATTTTAAAGTTTTAAGTGAGTTTCATTGCGTGAAAAAAAAGGCTCAGGCTTTCCACAGGCATGACTGCTGATGTTAAATGAAGGAAAGCTATGGCAGTTTTTCCAGAGAAAAGTCTGAAATGACTGAGGGTTAGGCATTTGCAAACTTCTATGTATATGTCACTTACAAATTCAGCACAGGATTTGTAAAATAATCTCTCCTGTTTGCTGAACTAGGGCTAAATGGGTCACATTGGTATAGAGTGTTATAGGGAAAATTTGGTGAGGTACTGGAACAGGCTGCTCAGGGAGGTGGTGGAGTCCTTGTCCCTGGAGATGTTCAAGAAAAGGGCAGATGTGGCACTGGGGGACATGGTTTAGCGAGTACAGTAGGGATATGTTGATGGTTGGACTAGATGACCTTAGTGGCCTTCTCCAATCGGAATGATTCTATGAAAAACAATTTGCAGCAGCAAGAGCTGTGATAAAAGCAGATAGTATCTTGCTTTCTATTTGACTTTAGCAGTTCTCCAGTTCTCCCAGACAGTAACACACAACCCCTGGAGGTAGGGCAACAACTGCTCTAGCAAATTTTCCAAGCAGATCTGAAAAGACGATTGTAGCTGTCCTAAAATGTCATAGCCAGCTCTTCCTGCTGATTTTCTTCAGTCAACAGACCAAAGCCCGAGTCTGAATGAATATAAACGGCTATAAGACAATGGCCGAACACTAGCATAAATTTATAGCACTTCAGCTCCTGAGTGATTTATACTGTCCTTGAAATGCATCTTGGAAATGTCAAGTATCTGCTAAATATGCATGCACTGAAAAAAATGGTATTGCCGTGCCAGCGGTTCACCATGCCTGCCAGGATGTATCTTCCAGGGATTTAAAATTCAAACGTCATCTTGTGTTAATCTACTGCAAAAAAGCACGTCCTATCAGAGAATAAGGTGCCTCAAATCATAGCTCAGTGCTAAAGGGCAAAGTGCAGGACTACTTTAGTAGGTGGAAAGCAATTCGCTTTTCTTTCTTATAGAGAAACAAGTGGTCTCAAATAACTGGTATTTTACCAGAATTCAGCTCATGTACATGCTCCTGTTGGTGCATGGTATGGCTTATCTTCCCATTGCTCAGCAATCTGAGGTATCCAATGTCCCCATACGATGCTCTCAACTAGCTTTGGGTGCTCTCAGGCTCTCCTGTTTGTAG